TATTTGGGCACTCTTGTTTAATACAAAACTCAAGGCACAAAAGACAAATGGGTTGCAAAGTCCAGAATGTTTTGTAATACTTGTTTTTTTTTCCAAAGAAAAAATATATTTCTGGATAATTTTTAGAAAAACATTATTATACTTTCCTTAAATAAATATGTAAATAAGTGTATGTAGTTTTTCTTTTTCTTTTTTCATTTCCATGTCTCCATGTTCCAGGTTGAGTGGAGCTATAGCATGAAGCTTAGTGGCAGGGAGACAGTATGACTCTTCTATGGTCAACATGCCAGAGATTTGGTTTTGAAAACCAGATACAGAGAATCCCATCAGTTGCAGCACAGTTATTGGCGCTAAAAGGAGAAATGAGAGAAACAAAGAGCAGATAGTGTATGAAGGAAAACAAGGATTCCATGGAGGAAGAAATTGATTTTTTTCTCCTTTAAGGAAGACTCTTGAGATATTTTATCAGCTCCTTTCCATTTTGAAGCCCTTAGTCTTTAAATATCATCTAGGTGTAGATTTAAGGAGGCAGGACTGGCCTGGGTACCTAACAGAGCTCCCTCGGGTATGTGGTGGTAGAGCTCGCTCAGGGCTTAGGAAGCTCTTGTACATCTTCCACTCTTACCTTCCACCTTCGCTTACATATGATCTGCTCTCCAGCTTTGCTCGATTTCCCAGTCTCTTTCACACCACATGCTTTTGCTCTCTGATTTTCCTCATCTCCTGCCTGTTGTTCTGGTGAGAGGTTCTGATCTTCAAGGATGGCCTCAGCGGAGCTTTCCTTGACTCTCCCAGGTTGAATGATCGGTTTTCTTTTGTGGCTTTTCAACTTTTTAAAAAATTTATTTGACAGGTAGAGTTATAGACAGTGAGAGAGAGAGAGACAGAGAGAAAGGTCTTCCTTCCGTTGGTTCACTCCCCAAATGGCAGCCACGGCCAGCACTGCATGGATCCGAAGCCAGGAGCCAGGTGCTTCTTCCTGGTCTCCCATGCAGGTGCAGGGCCCAAGCACTTGGGCCATCCTCCACTGCCCTCCCAGGCCACGGCAGAGAGCTAGACTGCAAGAGGAGCAACTGGGACTAGAACCCGGCGCTCATATGGGATGCCGGCACTGCAGAGGAGGATTAACCAAGTGAGCCATGGCACTGGCCCCTGCTTTTCAACTTTGACTCACCTATCACACTGATGATTCTGAGTGGTGTAATAATATCATCACCTGGTGTTGCCAGAAAAATTCATCTTTAAAGAGTTGTATTAAATTTATTTCCAGGACCTACTATTAGATTACCTGATATGAGCAATTACAGGTTCTTTTATGCTGTATGTTGAAACATTTAGGTCAGTTTTAGAATGGCCTTACCAAAGAAACAAGCAATTTTGCACCTGGCCTTAAGGATGGTTCTCTGGTGTCATCAAGGAAAAGAATACAAGGCAGAGGTGTATGCATTTAGAAATGTGAAAGATGAGTTAACACTTTAAATGAGTTACCAGTCTGGGAATGACTCATATCTTGGCAGATTGTTTTTGAAAGGGGATGATAAATATGGTTAAAGATAGTATACTTTCACAAAAAGCTCTCCAAGACCTGCTAGGCTGATGTGATTCACAAATTCACAGATAGAACTAGCATGATTATGCATCAAGCATGCTACTGCCTTCTTGAATTAACTGAAAAGAGTCTTGCTTTTCAAACTGATCTGCCTTTAAATAACACACTTGTTCTTGGAATACCAAGCAGGTGCTTCCTATGGGAGTTGCATATTATAGTCAGTTCAGTTCTTCCTTTTCGACTCTCCAATCCATTTCTAATAATTATGAAAGAGTACTTCTATTCCCAAAGAATGTAATAAAATGTAATTAGAAAGAATTCTTGAAAGCTAAAAATGTAAAGAATTTTTTTCTATAATATGTGCTATGGCATCGTTGTTTAGAATCTTACAAAATTATTATATTTTGGCCTAAATTTCATTCTGCATTAACTATAAAAGAAAGATTTACTACAAAAATTGATAAACAGATGCCGAAGGCCTGAATAACTTCTCAATAGAACAGACTGCAGGAGGCCTGGATAACTTCTTAACAGAACAGATTCTTTTGAAATACTTGAGTGATACTAATTTGGAAAAGTAAAAGAAAGCCATGTGCCCATTAAGAGGTTTTTATTTAGTAAGGAAAGTGCAATTAAATATTTATTATTAAATATATTGTCAGTATAGGTTGGCACTTTGGATACTTGGCAATAATTATGAGTTTGTTTAAAAATATTCTATATTTTCATCTTGTTAGCCCTAATTGTTAAGATTTTGCCCTATTTAGTTATTTCTACAGCAAATGTTTTCCACAGTTTCATTTTTGCTGAGATTGTAGACTATTCTCCTTAGTAGGAAATGGCTGTTGAGTGTGCAAAAAGAGAACAAAAGACTTCAGCAGGAAGAGACTGTGATTATTTGAAATTCTTCATCCTTGGAAAATTCTTAAGTTAGGGTTCTGACTGCAATCTGATCGAGGAAACAGCTAATTGGACAAAGCATAAGCTTTTTGGCAGAATTGCAATTTGTATTGCATTTGCCTTTAATTCTCAACTTTCCCTAGCAGCAACACTGTCTTCAGTGTCCTAGGTAATGCTCCCCACAGGTCCTTAAGCTGATCTCCAGGAGCAGCCTCATACCCAGTGCAGCACCATGGACAGTGCTCCTAAAAGGAGTCATCAGCCTTGTGAAGAGAGATTGGGTTGGCAATTGACTGTTCTTGATAGTCTCTTAACTAAATGGTTTCAAATTTATGATAGATGGGATTATGAAGGCTTTACAAGATTTTTATTTAGCCTACATTAAAAGCATAACATCTTTGATATCACTTATATGTTAGTAGGAAATATTAGTATCTTCATCAGTTGAAGGCTTATGTGATGTGGTTTCAGCAGTGTAGGTGATTGACTTGGAATGAGGGGATGTCTATGGATTTGTATGTCTCATTTATCTCTGGGTTCCCTAGTCTCTCTTCCTACTCTGGGGCTGTTTGTACAATTGTAGTTGGAATTTGCTAATAAGATGGTATAGTTTCAGCTTTATGGACCAGAAGAAACTTCACCATTGCTTAAACATTTTTTCTCTTTTCAGCTGGACTTGTTTCACAGAGCGGTATGGTGCCTCTGAGCTTCCAGTGAGAATGCAAGGTGGTCATGGTGCAAAAGAAGTAACTTATTGAAGAGAGCTCTGGTAGAGTTGTTGTAATAAGCAGAAGAATTCTCTAAAGGTTTGTTGCCTGTCTGATAATAACAGGAAACATTTTTTTCTAAACAAGAGTTTTAAATCTCCACTGGAGGTATGCTATTATGTTATAGTATTTTTATTTCAATCAGCAGTGGCTGTGACTGTTTCTTCAGTGAAATGAAACTCGCCACCCAAATATCTTCCAAGGCTGTTTCCTGCTTTGGATCTCTGCAGGGAAGCTTCAAGCTTCAAACAATTCTCAAACTTATTTAGAAGTGAAAGAACTGGAGGGCAGAATACACCCCTACTACTTTGATATGCTGAATAAATTACTACTTTACTAAGTTAAAAACAACAAATTATAAAAGTTGGCATAAATGGAATGAAATCTTATAATAAAGTCTGGTATACACCATTGGTAGCAGAAGCAGTTTAAGAAAAATCTGGAACATAAATATTAGTGAGGAATTTCAATTCATTGGCATAATTTTAATTCCTCTGAGTCTGGGATAAGATTGTTATTTTCAATTTTACCAGTGGAATACTCAGTCTGAATTCCTGAAACATCGGTGTTCCAATGGGGCATAACTGGACAGTTACTGGTACAAAACTACATTAGCTGAATCGTGCTCTATAAAGTTAATAATGCAGTGATTATGTTCTTGAATGTCATAATAAACTATTAGTTGAGAGTTTAAGCATGGAGTAATTTGATGCCAGGTTCTTTATACCAGCTTCATTGCTGGGTTAGGAGAGAAGTAAGTTGACATATAGACCTGGGAGTCTCCCTGCAGTCATTATCAGTGGGTAGCCAGCCTGCCAGCATGTGCGGGTGTCATGCCTGCATTATGCTGAGAGTACAGCATCACTGTTATTTCAAACAGTAGAGGTGATTACCAAGGCTTTGGGCTGAGAAGCAATATATACCAACACTGGAGGGAAAAGGACTATTTATTTTTAAAAGTTCATCATCAAATCACTGGACAAGATAAACAAATTATGGAGAAAATCAACACTTATTTCAACCAGGGAAATCCATTGTAATTTGCTGATTTCTCTAGGCATTCTCAGTGGGATGTTGAACAAAACTCTCTCAGATATCTTCCACTGGATAAGCAGCTATGATTGTGAAAAATTCATTTTGTTTTATTTTCATCACTGATACCTCTTTCCACATTTTCCCTAATTATATTTAAGCATAATATAGTGCATCCAAGGTTATTAAGGCACCCAATTTAGAATTAATTTCTCTGAATGGAAACATGAGCCATATGTTTGTCAGTAATAGCAACACTATGAAGTTTGATAATTTGTAAGCAGATTGATATATTTTCATCTAAAGAGTTCTGAGAGTTTGTATTCATTTTTGAAGCACTGACAGCTTTCACCTTTTCAGAAGCCACACACATTTCTAATCTTATTTAATTTTCCTACTGGTTTGACTCTGAGTAGAGGTTCAAATAACATTGTGACTCTTCTGTGCCTTGATTCTGCTGAAGTATTCCTTGTCTGTCCCTTGGCACAGAAGCAACTGCAAGTAAATTAATAGTTATAAAGGTGCAGCAAACCTGCACTTCGTGGTGGCTATTATACTTGATTTCCACATGGTTGAGATTTTCTTTTTTTAAAATATACTCTTACCCCACTGCGTAAATACATGTTCACGAGGATACAGAAACCTCCAACAGAGAAGTGCATCTCTGTCCTATGTACTGTCATATGCACACAAACCAATTCCATTTTGGAAGCCAGCAGGGGGCACATAAAACAAAATAAGTAAAAAAAAAGTTGCACATAGAGTAATTTTAATCCATTCCATTTTTAAATACCACAATAAATTTAATTTTCACAATAAATTAAATAGCCATATTCAGTTTACAAAATAGAATTGCTTAGTGTGAAACCAGTATTTACAACAATATACACTATGTACAAGATATTTCTCTTTGTTGACATACAACATGGAAGTAAAAGACTTGACTTTCCAACATGTGATTGACATGCTACAGGTGACACCATGGCCCATACAAGAAAACAATAGTGCAAAATCACCACAAGAACTTTGGAACAATGTCAATTTTATGAGATAAGACATTCTTTTAAATAAGAAGAAAATAGCACTTTTTGTTTTGCTTTTTCATGGCACCAATTCAGCATCTGAATTAAAGAGCCAGCTTTCCCTTAGGAAAAAAAATGCATAACTGAATTCTCTACTTCCTGAATCTTCACAGCCATTGGTATTTTTTTCACACATTTATATTTTGGCTTAAATCTATGAAGATGGCGGATGACAAATTCTGAATCAAAGGAAGACTAACTTTTGGAGAATAGCTGCAGTTACTTTTTCCCCAAACCACCACCTCTTCTGTTCTGTAAATAGCTTAAAAGATTCATCTATGCAGACAGTATGTCTTTTGTACATTTTCAGTAGAAAAAGAACTGATCTGATATTTGGTCACACACTACTTATGTACAAGTATACATTGAAAAATGACTTGGATAGATGTGTCTAGGAAAAGTGCATATTTTTAATCTAGAAGAGATATCATGTGTGTCCAGGCACAACACATAGTGTTGTATGGCATGTTTTTTTAGGGCCAGTTCAATGTCCTCCCAGTGATCTGATAAAATTTTTGATTGAAAGGGTGAAAGAATTTGCGCAATTTGGTAATGACAGAGGGGTCCACCTCCGGATGAATGCGTCCCTTGCTGCCCGCCAGGCACTTATTAAAGATAATATTAAACCGCAAGCAGTAAAACCCTCTGGTAGCATTGAAATATAAGTTGTACTGACTTATCCTTGGGGGAAGATTTAGGAACTTCTCCACGAGCTGAAGTTCCGGCAGAGGTTCTGTGATGAGGCGATCTCCATCCACGATGTGAAATTGCTCAATTGGAAAGTATTTCAGCCACCTCTCCAGATGTTTGGTGTAGATGCTGGTTCTTACCGCCTTATATTTTGTGTTCACTTCACAGGTATTAGAGTCTATGGCCAGCTTCTCAAATTTGTAATAAGTTTTGTTCTTCCTCTCTTTCCCCTCTAGCACCTGAGTATAATCAGAAATAGCTCTTGTGGTTGGCTCCCTGACAATGATCAACAACTTGATGGATGAGTTCATTTTGTAAATCCTTTCCGGAACTTCCTCTGTGATAAAATATGCTGGGCTCTTTTCAATTGTGATTTGCTGAGGGTAGGAAAAAGGCATCTTTTTCCTATACCACTCAATGCCCTTGGCATAATTCTCATCATTGTCAAAAAAGTGGATTTCTTGAGAGGCTTTCACCACTGCTGGATGGAGGTTCAGCATCTCAAGCAAGGCCCTCGTGCCTCCCTTCCTCACGCCAATGATAATGGCCTTGGGGAGCTGCTGCACCAGGTCATGGAGGCGAACCTGCTCCTTGGAAGTGTTGCCCTTCCGGAATTCGTGCAGCAGGCCACGCTTAAACTGCAGAGCACGGAGTGGGAATTCAGCCTGACCGCGGGCTCCACCAAATCGACCTTCAATGGGGCAAATTGGTTGTAGCCTGCAAGCAACAGAGAGATCATTTCAGAAGCTCATGGCAACTAACTTCTTATCTTTCTGATTCCCTCGTTAAATACATAAATAAAACCACTGGTTCCCAGCCTGCTGCAATCCATAATGAACATATGTTGGGAAATTTTATTTTAAGCAAGTCTGCAGTAAATGGAGCACATATAATTGATAGGAGGTTTTTTTAATTATTATTATTAGGGTGCCTTAAAATTTTTATTCACCAAGCACTTAATTGACTACGGCATGTAGTTATGCTCACAGTACAGGATAGATAAGTGACACCAGCCATACTAATAGCTTTTTAACAGCTCACCAGTTAAAATCATTTAGAAAATGTGAAAGGCAGAAGATTATCATCTTCAGCTGGGAGGCTCAAGGGCGGCTAGGAGACCACATGTTTCGGGTTTCATATGGTATTATTTTCTTGCAGCTCAGCAGCACTCATATGGCTCTTAAAAATCTCTGAGATATAATATGAAAAGAGGTCCAGTCTCTGCCCTTAGCTATTTGCATGATCAACCTGCAAAATTCCAATCTTGGCTTTTGCTGAGTTTTTCATTCTATGAGAATTTCTGCCCTTGGCCTTAGGGATAGCCAGGAGAGTATTTATTATGTCTGCCTCTCTTGTTCTTTCTATCTAAGGAGGCCAGGATTAAGGTTTTCACTCTGCTCAATGTAGGAACAAACTCAACTGCCATCTGCAAGTGCTGTATACCACTTACTGCACCTGGGGACCAGAAGTCAACAAGACCTTGATGGGGCCAGAAACCTCAGGTTCTTACTGCCAAACTCGTTTAAATTGGGGGCTCAAACTCATACAAGGAATGCGATGATTAAAGCCAGGTTGGAGGATGTCTACTTCCATAGTGCCCTGAATAATGAACAGCCATCTCTGCTTTTCTGAGAGAGGAAGACGTGGTAATAGTCGTGGTGATACTAGATTGAAGTGACTATTTAATTCAGCGTGGCCAATATGTTTAGTAGGCAAATTGGGTTTCCTTTTAGGTGTAGTCTAAAAATGAGCTGAAATTCAATGTAATTTGCTTAAGTTTATCTGGGAAGGCATTTCAGTCTTCTTGAGAAAACACATAATTTTGGTCAAAATGGCTGTTAAATCAGTTCCTACACCTGAAAGGTTCTAGTTATCATAATAATTTGGAGTTGGTATCTCCCTCTGTATTGTAATAAGGCTGTCACTTGCTTTTCCTGAGAGACCCTATTGCATCTTTCTTGTATGCTGAGGTCATGCTCAGTCTATTCTGCAGAAATGGAAGGAATGGTATTTGTGGTCTGTTTAAACAGTCACCTATGAAAACACTTAAGACAGTACTTGCTGTGTTGTTGGTTTTCTGTAACTTTTATTTTTAAAAAAGATTTATTTATTTGAAAGGCTGAGTGACAGAGGGAAAGAGAGATGGAGAGATAGAGTGATATATCGTATATCTTCTGATTTATTTCCCAAATGTCTGCAAAAGCCAGGGCCAAGGGCAGGCTGAAGCCAGGAGCCAGAAACTGCATCCAGGTTTCCCACCTTGGTGGCAGGAACCCACCATCTTGGGCCACCATCCACTGTCTCTCAAGCACGTAAGTAAGATGGTGGATTGGAAGCATGGAGTTGTTGGGACTCACACTAGGCACTCCAATATGGGATGCGGGTTTCCCAAGCAACAGCTTAATCTGCTGATCCACAACAATAATGCATTTCAAAACATTTCATGCTTATTGTGGAAAGAATGAAAATATTTAAAAACTATTAAAATATGATTTACCATAGTTAACATTTTAGAGAAACATGAGATTTATACTTTTGTAAATGATATTATCAAGATGGGGCTGTAAATGGAAGACAAGATTATCATGGTCATGATACATGGTCAAAGATGTTTTTAATTGTGAAATTGATTGCAGTTTCACAAATTCATCTTTCTGCTCTTCTTGAGTTCTGATGGAGAAGTAAGAACTAATTTCCCTAAGGCATCCATTGATGGATGTCTCCAGAATGATGCTAGTCCCATCCTGGGAAAGCTGAGTAACCAGTCACTGACATCCTTGACTGTAGGATCTAATTCTCTTGCAGAATCCTGGCTGAAAGGGGCTTACATAGAAAGTGTCCCTACTGAGCTGGAATGGGATTGCTCCAGCCTCTGAAGGACCATTTTCTATTCTTTCCTTCCTTCTTTCTACCTTCTACTCTGGTAGACTATATCTGTCAGAACAATCACTTTTTGGACTTTCTAACTCAATGTAACATGTAAAGAGAGGATAAAATAACACATTATTTTTCTACTTCCTGGAGCACAGATTCTGAGTGTGGGCCCCAGAGTAAGAAAAAAATCCAGAATTTTAGGATTGAAAGGAATAGGAGAAGTAACTTCAGCTTCTCTCTCAGCGTACAGGGTCTTCAGTTACTAATGGGCAGCCTAAATAAGCTGGTATTACTTTCAGACAAAATCATCTCAAACTCATAAGTAAGAGGTTTTGCGAAAGTCTATCACGTAATTCAATACCTTATAAAAGTCATTCCATTATGGTTGAGAGACTGGGTCGAAAATGAAAATAATCTTCAAATAAATAATGAATGTGCTAGTGATCATTAGATCAATTACTCAATAAAATGTAAATGATCGGAGACTAAGTAAAAGGACTGGGATGAGTTCAGTATAAAAATTCCATTATGGGATAAGACAATGGCACCACCTCAAAGCTTTTCACCAATAACTGCTACTCCAGCAAAGTGCTCGAGGTCAGCAGTAAGCTCTTGATTATACTTCTCCCAGAAGTAACAACTAATGAATACAAAGTTTACTCAGGATTTATGAGCTGAAAGAATCAAAGAAGTTCACTTCACCAATCAAAATTGACACTGACAGGAAAACAAGGACCACTGCTATATTCTTTTTAAGTATACTAGTGATAAGGTCTACATAGTAGCTTATAGTTTGGAAGAAAAAGGACATTGAAAGGAGGCTGCTTCCATTTTAAAATGTATGGCATTTTAACTGACAATGGAGTTGAACTCAGAGAACATATTCTAGCCTTTCTAGTGCAAAAAGTAATTTTATTTAAAAATTTAAAAATTAATTTATTTGCGAGGAAGACATACAAAAAGAAAGAGAGACATGCAGACACACAGAGAGCTCCAATTTGCTGATTCATTCACAGCAGCCATTGAGGGCTGGGGCTGAAGCTGGGAATTTCAATCCAGGTCACATGAGAGGCAGGCATCAACTATTTAAAACAGTACAGCTGCTCCCCTCTCCCATTCCCCCTCTGCCAAGTTCTGCCATTGGTAAGCAGCCAGAATCAGGAGCTGGGGCCAGGAATTGAACCCAAGTACTGCAAGGAGGCATGTCAGAGTCTCAACCAGAATCTGTACAGCTAAGCTACACACCCTCCTTGCAAGAATTAATTTTCAAGGGCAAGGGAGAAGCTTCACATTTGGATATTAACTTTTCTGTTCCTGCCAATCACACTGGCTGTAGATCAATCCAGAAGCACTGAATGTGAAACCAGTTGGTATTGCTGGGGTTTTTGGAGATCCAGTCCCTCTGATTGTTTGCCTGTGTTGAGCCAAACCCTAATTCTGTCATTTCCTCGCCATGGATTTTTCATTGCTTTCTGAGCAGTCAGCCTCCTTGTCTGGTAGGTTCAGCGCATGAAAACCAGACATAATTAACATAGTTAAACCTCTCCACGCCTACAGCCATCTTTCCAGGGCAATGGATTGAAAACTTGATGAGCTCCTTTACAGGCTCATATATAATTTTAATGCTCCTGATAGCACATTAATTGTCCACTCATAAATTTGAAAATGAAGATCCATAGATATATCAGCACTGTTTTGCTATGGCTGGAGGTCAACACCAGATGCACACAGACCACACTGAGCTCTAGTTAATGACATTTTTACTGTACACAGCTTTATCCCTTCTCTGAAAACAAGTGTCAATGCACACAGAATACAAATGGATCTTGACAGAATGCCTTGATTTGAGCAACTTGGATCTCTCTCTTTTTAAAAAAGGCTCAATAAATCAAAATCAATACTGCAGGAACGCATGCTTCTTGGGAATTTTGAGGGAGGAAAACAAATGGATAGACTTAAAATTATGTCTTAAGGAAGTATAAATCAACAGACACTTAAAGTCACACACGCATACACATGTGTTTAATCACCTACCTATCCAAGCTCCCAACTCTGGCGACTAGATACAGGAGACTCCCAACGGCAAGGCTTCCCAGCACCAGGAGCTTCTGTCTCAGCCACGCCTGCTGTTTGAATAGCATGGCCCTCCATCAACCTTCAGGACTGCTGCAGCCTGAGAAACAGGATAGAAGACACTCATCAACAGTTGTCTCTAATAGGCTCTGCTGATTCTCACAAGCCAACCAGAGGTGGGAAGATAGGTGACACTATGTGGAGAACAGTACCAATCTTGATCATTTTCATGGAGTACCAGATATTTAACAATGCTTACCTTCCTTTTCCTGGTTTGTGTCATAAGATCAAATACTACATCTAGGAGATAGAAGCTGATAAACAATTATCAAAGTAAAGTAAAATGCATGCATTAGTACATACACATGTATGAGGCTTTTTGGGGCCTCATTCAAAGAATAACAAAATGAACAACTGTGGTTTATCAGCAAAGCAACCGGTGAACTGAAGGCTTCACAGTAGTGCTGAATGCTGAAGTCTCGATTCTGAATCATTTTTGGGTACAACAACAGCATATTTTGCTTAGATGTTTTTTGTTTTGTTTCAGTTGTTGGTGGAGGAATGGGGTGAGATCAAAAGTGATTGCTTATGAGGTCATCAGTGGTATGCAGCAAGGCCTCACATGGCGGAGGAATGTGGCCCTGAGGACCCACACATTTCTCCTCATGTCCTCTGCCCAGTTTGGGATTCTAAAAACACTCGTGGACTAGATGCTCCTGCTATGTGACCTCTCCTGGCTCACAATGAATTTAAACAGGTTTGATGGTAAGGTCTTGCTCTTATATCATGATACAAGCTTACCTGGAAGCTTTGTTCTCGTATACCTGAAATAAGCCCAGCTGAGGAGTGCAGGGCTTTACTAGTGTCGTTATTAAATTTTTGGAAAAAATGCAAGCTCCCAATGCAGACTTTCTTATTAAAAATAAATCCAATCCCTCTTTCATGATAAGATTGTTTGCTCCTTATTGAAACTCAAAATAGTAACCTGAGACTACAGAAAAGAGTCATGGTTAGAAATTGTTTTGCTGCAATGGTATCTCCTTGTTTGCTATGCTCTGATTTTCTCTACTTAAAAGGTATTAGGATTGATTGCCATATTTGTTCATTATGAAATTTACAAGCATCAGTAGTATTTTCTGTTATTATGGTAGCTTGTGGGAGAGTCCAAAAAAGATTCTCAGAGTTTTAACTCTTGGAAATCTGATAATGTGATGGCAGAATCATGAAATAGGCAGAGAGCAAAATCAAATTCATAATAACGTATGAACAAAAGTTGGAGGAAAAATCAAGGAAAAGGTCAGAGAACGTGGGATCCATGGAATGCTTCTTTTCAGTAGGACACAAAGCATGACCTGGTGAGGAGGCTCTTAAGAGGCCACCCTAAGACAGGGAGATAAGAGCAACGTTCATTCAACACAAAGATTTATAGGACCTGCCTAATGGCTAGATTCTGTAATGGAGGGCTACCGAGAATAGTAGTCAACCAAACACAAATTTGGTTTTTGTTCTATGGGAGTCCACTGTTTAGTGAAGACAGACATTCAGCCGGTACAGGTATTTAGAGGGTTGAGCTATATTTGCAAAGTGTAACAAATAGGACAGAGGGAAATGACAAAATCTGGTTAGAAGGGGTAAGAGGAGGAACCACTCCAGTCCTCTCTGAAGAGGCGTGAGGAGGCCCAAATTGGATTTGGGTAGAAGAACCAGCAGACACACATGGACTGAGCTGGGGAGTTGGGGTGGGGGATTGCTTGGCTAGTTTGAGAAGTGAGGGAAGGCAGGAGTGGCTGGACTCAGAGACTGAAGAGAAGAGAGACAAAGCTAAGGGTGACATGTGGGAGACCTGGGGGAAGCTTCTGGCTCCTGGCTTCAGGTCAGCGCAGCTCTGGCTGTTGAGGCATCTGGGGAGTGAACCAGCATATGGAAGACCTCTCTCGCTGCTTGTCCTCTCTCTGTGTAATTCTGACTTTCAAATAAATAAATAAATAAATAAATAAATAATTTTTTTAAAAGCTAAGGGTGAAAGCAGGGAGTGTCAGGGGCAGCTGTCGTGGCACAGCAGATTTCACTGCTGCTTGGGATGCCCACATCCCTCCCAGCTGCTCTGCTTCCAATCCAGCTTACTGATAAGGCACCTGGGAAGGCAGAGTTCTAATGGCCCAAGCACTTGGGCCCCTGCCACCTTTGTGAGAGACCCAGATGGGGTTTCTGGCTCCTGGCTCCTGGCTCCTGACTTCAGCCTTGCCCAGCCCTAGCTGTTGCAGCCTTTCAGGGACTTAAACAGTGGACTGAACATCTTCTTCAAAAAATATTCATTTATTGGAAGGTAGAGTGACTGAAAAGAGAGAGAGAAAGAGTGAGAGATCTTCTATTTGCCAGGTTATTCCTCAAATGGTGGCAAAAGCTGGGGCTGGGTGAAGCCAAACTTAGGAGCCAGGAACCTTATCTTGGTCTTCCACATGGGTGGCAGGGACCTAGGTACTTGGGCCATCATTCTCTACCTTGCCAGGCACATTAGCAGGAATGTAGGATTGGAAGTGTAGCAGCTGGGACTTGAACCGGCACCCTGACAAGGGATGCCAGCATTGTAAACAGTGGCTTAAACTGCCGATAACTTCCCTCCCACCCGCAACCCTCCACTTTCCCGCTCCCTCTCCTCTTCCATTCACATCAAGATTCATTTTCAATTCTCTTTATATACAGAAGATAAGTTTAGCATATATTAAGTAAAGTTTTCAACAATTTGCACCCACATAGAAACACAAAGTGAAAAATACAGTTTGAGTACTAGTTATAGCATTAAATCACAATGTACAGCACATTAAGGACAGAGATCCTACATGAGGAGTAAGTGCACAGTGACTCCTGTTGTTGACTTAACAAATTGACACTCTTGTTTATGGCATTAGTAATCACCCTAGGCTCTTGTCATGAGTCACCAAGGCTATGGAAGCCTTTTGAGTTCACCGACTCTGATCACATTTAGACAAGGTCGTAGTCAAAGTGGAAGTTCTCTCCTCCCTTCAGAGAAAGGTACCTCTTTCTTTGATGACCTGTTCTTTCCACTGGGATCTCACTCACGGAGATCTTTCATTTAGGTCATTTTTTCTTTTGCCAGAGTGTCTTGGCTTTCCATGCCTGAAATACTCTCATGGGATTTTCAGCCGATCCACACGCCTTAAGGGCTGATTCTGAGGCCAGAGAGCTGTTTAGGACATCTGCCATTCTATGAGTCTGCTGTGTATCCCACTTCCCATGTTGGATCATTCTCTCCTTTTTTAATTTATATGATATTTGTCAGACATGGAACAGATGGACTCCAACTGGTGCCCACATGTGATGCCGGTGCTGCAGGTGGTGCCTTAGCCTGCTGTACTACAATGCCGGCCCCAGATGCCTAATATTTTTATACTATACTTTTCTCTTTGGTCACCAAAGTCAGTAAACCATTTCTCTTTATTACTTCTTGCCCTGTCCTGTCCAGGTACTTTGTGCCTCCCTTATGTTTTGATATTTCAGTATGTTGTCCTATGACCCTGTATGGTCTCAATCTTTCTCTGACCTGTTTTTGGATCCAGTCCAATCTCTTTGTCTCTGAAAGTCCATATCATCCATTTTGTGCTCCCAGGGTGGGTAGCCAGCACTTTTGCCTTCTATCAGTCACTCATAGCAGCCTCTGCGTAAGTCAGGCCTGACTCTTCATGCTCTCCATAGGCATTTATTTACCTCATGCTTTTGTCAGCTTCCTCACAGGTGTGCAATGCCTGTCTTATGTCTCCTCTTTCAAGACTCCTAGATCCCACTGATAACTGGTCGATATACAATTTTGCGGTGGGAAATCCCAATATACTTCCCATTGGTGGCTAGGCATGGGTTATGTCCATTGTACAGATAATGACAGGACCAAAGGTAATAGCTGGACTTCAAGATTAAACACAGGAGAAATCTGCATAGAAGGGGTGAGCGAAGTGATGAAGGATGAACTCTGTTCAAGGTCATCAGGTAGGAAGAAGAAAACAATGTTAGAGAATGGGAAGCTGCCGAAGAAGTAGTCAACATTGAGGGGATTATCACAAGACCTCCAGCTTCCTATTGTAATACACACTTCATTTGGCATACATTAGGTTATTAAAACTGACTTAATATGAGGTTATTTTTTCCTATTGCAACTGAAGGTCTTCCCATTTCAAAGGCCCCAATGCTTAACTTATAGACTCATCATTTTTTTTTTTTTTGACAGAGTGGACAGTGAGAGAGACAGAGAGAAAGGTCTTCCTTTTTGCCGTTGGTTCACCCTCCAACGGCCACTGCGGCCGGCGCCCTGCGGCCGGCGCACTGCTCTGATCCAATGGCAGGAGCCAGGTGCTTCTCCTGGTCTCCCATGGGGTGCAGGGCCCAAGAACTTGGGCCATCCTCCACTGCACTCCCGGGGCATAGCAGAGAACTGGCCTGGAAGGGGGGCAACGGGGACAGAACCAGCACCCTGACTGGTACTAGAACCCGGTGTGCCGGCACCGGTAGGTGGAGGATTAGCCTAGTGAGCCGCAGTGCTGGCCTAGACTCATCATTTTTGATAATCCCAGTTATTACCACAGAGGCTTAGCTGCCCAGGATGAGCTGTTACTGCCAGTGTAGCTTCCCTGCACCTGATATGCCTTAAATATGCTCTCTGGGGTTTCTGCCTTTGGGAGACCTAATTTCTCCAACCCCTTGTTTGCAGAGCTGGCCTTTAGCTCCTTGCCATGCCTCTTCTAATTATGGCAGACCCTCTATACTCTCTAAAATACATTCATGTCTACTGTGATGCCGAGAACTAAAATTTTTATTTGAGATTTCAACTATTGTAGAAGAGTCACCCACGGTGAAATGCAAAGACCATTGATTGGGAGTTAAAATAATGTGAATCATATGTTGGTTTAGTTTTATATGGAAATTCAAAATCTTGTTTTCCTCATCTGCAGAACGAAGATAGTAATGCTTATTTCACAGGGCTGTTATAAAGCGCACATTGAGTAAGACACTGAAAGATAGAACTCTGTGAATATCTGAGCACTTTACATAAATGAAGCATAATTAATATCTTCAGGAGGCAGATGAATT